TTCTGGGCCTGCTCTGTGCTTCTCTGGTGGCTGCTTTCAAGTGTGACTTCAGACCTGGCAGGAGCCCAGCCAGGGGCAGCGAGTATGGAGCTTGCTCCTTGTCGTATGGTCAGAGGGGAAAGAAAGTATGTAAACAGTGCCTTCCCATGTCAGACTGGTAAAGGGGAGAGGTTTGCTGCTTGTTTACACACCACGTCCTCCTGCAAAACCACCCCTGGCCAGTCTAGTCGGAGCATGCTTTCCTCCCGGCCCAAGGCTGAGTATAGGTCTTGCTTTTCTGGTCTCTCAGGAGTTGATAGGAAAGTATGTTTTCCCCTTCTATTGGGCCCTCCCTCCCTCGCCTTCCCTAAGATCCCGCCCCCGCCACCCCACCCCTGGCTGCTCATGAAGTCCTTGCTTGTCTTTACAGTTCTGTTTGTCATCAACAGTCATTTCCAGCAGTGAAAAGCCTAGCTGCTGTTAAAAGGGAACAAGTCTTTCCCCCTCCGTTAGCCTCTTCTGGACCCTGAAAAGACCGGGAGAGGCCTGCTGTGATCCCCCTTGCCTTTTTCGCTTCTTTTGCCCCAGGTACAATTTTAGAGTACCTGTTTCTGTTTTAATGACAGCAGGCCCTTCCCCTTATTGTCCAGGTTGGCTCCAGCCACCCTGACTGCCCTCTGGCGAGGGTGAGGCGGAGCTGTCTTCAGGAGGTTGGGGTGAGGCTTCAAAGAACTGGGGGCAAACGTGAGTGTAGCACACTGCCCCAGGGCATGCAGAGCAGCCCTGTGCTTTGTCCATCCAGGAGACTAGCCACCCAGCAGCATTGCTATTGGGGTTGATTCTTTTTCTTTTTGCTTTTTTAAAGAATTATTTATTTTTTGTTATTATTTTAATTTGACCAGAGAAAGAGAAAAAGGGAGTCAGAAAGCAAGTCGCTGGGACCCGAACCATGGTCGGCCAGGTGGGAGTCCAGCATCGCAACCACTGTGCCACCTTCAGGCCCCTCTTTTCCTTTTTCTTAAAGAGAGATTTTTGCTTTAGTGTGGTGTGTGCTCATTAGACAGAAAGTGACAAGTCACCTCCCCCCCCCCAGGGAGAATGGCCATGCCACAGTTCCTTCTCCTCCACTCTTGTCTCAGGATCTTGAGCACGCATGCGTACGTGCCCACATGCTCAGTGTGAGTTTTAAGCTGCCAGGTCTGGGGCTCAAACCACAGTCAACTACGTGGGAGTCCAGCAACATAACCATTATGCCATCTGCCAGTCCTGGAGTTTATTGTTTAACCCAGACCTCCTCTTGGCCAGTCTTGGCCACAGCTCCTACCCTACTGGTTTTCTCTCTGGTGGCAGGCAGGAAAAGTTGGGGCTTGTACTTAAGACACCAAACTTGTAGTGGATATTGAACTCTCTTTAAGTTCTCTGTCCCAGACTAGCCCCTCCCCCCCTTTTTTGGGCAGGATGTACCATTTTCTAAAGTTCTTAACTGAAATTTGGAGATTTTTTAAGCAGGTAGGGGTTCAGCTGAGTTTTCATCCTTTGGCACTCAGTGCTCAGGCCTTGAGCCCTTCTCTGTGAGGTATGCCAGCCCGAGTTTGGGGTCTGTGGCCTTGAGGGCCTCCCTTTGAGATGGGAGAAAATGTGGTCCTACTGGGAGTCCACAGCGTAAGGGGCTGGCAGAGGAGGAGACGGACGCGGCGGGGGGGGGGAAGAGAAGGGGAGCAGGGAGGGTATTGGCAGAGCCAGGTGGGGCTCACAAAAAGGGAGGCATGCCCCCTGGAAGGAAAAAGTGGTGTCCTTAAAATGCCTCTCAGCACCTTGTGACCAGGTAGCCTTGAGCCGGTTATGAATACTCGAGCTAGTGAATGTGTATCTGCTCTGACCAAGCCCATCAGGTGAATAGGTGATGTTCGAATTTAGATTAAACCTTAAAATACAACAGGGGCAGTTATTTGTTTTAGAAAAGTATTACTCAGGGACCAGCAGTTAGTGTAATGGCTATGTCGCTGGACTCCCACGTAGTCGACCGCGGTTCGTGTCCCGGACCCGGTGGCTTAAAACTCACGCCGGGCGCGTGTGCGTGCATGCCCAAGATCCCGAGAGGAGAATGGAGGAGA